TAGATAGATAGATAGATAGATAGATAGATAGATAGATAGATAGATAGATAGATCTAGAGATAGATAAATAGATATAGATAGATAGATAAAGATATAGAGATAGATAGATATAGAGATAGATAGATCGATCTAGATAGATAGATGGAGATAGAGATAGATAGAGACAGAGAGACAGAGAGACAGAGACAGAGAGAGATACGTAGTTATGTAGGTATGGGTGGGTTCCCCCCCCCCCCAATCCATCTAATTAGAAAGGATGACCAACTGGGTTTGTGTGAACCGTCTGGCAAAGGCGAGGAAAAAACCAGGGGGCCCAGCCGCAGGAAAATGATATTTCAGATCAATCCACCCTCCGCAGAGCCCAGAAGACGCCGGTTGCAAATGCATTGTGACCTTTCCTTGTTTATTTATAGCCCCAACTCTAGCAGAGGCTTAGAAATTTTATAATGAAAAAGCTAATACAGAAAATACATCCAGCCCTGGGAAGCCTCTTTGAGGGGGGGGGGGAATAAGGCACCAGCCAAAACGCTGAATCATTCTCATCGCCTTGCAGGTTGAAATCCCTGAGCATGCACAGAGTTCCCTCTGGACTCCTTTCCAACTGGAGGGCCCCCTGCTTTAATTCAGGAACCCCCGCCCCCCCCATCTTGGGAAAAAAAAGAGCCTGGGTTTTTTTCCATGTTCCCCTCCGCCTTTTATGATGTATTTTAATTGCAAATGGGGGTTGAAAAAGAAACCCAGGAGAATTTGGAGGCAGGGAAGGAAGTAAAATCGGTAATAAAGGTAAAGGTTCCCCTCGCACCTATGTGCTAGCCGTTCTCGACTCTAGGGGGCATTGCTCATCTCCGTTTCAAAGCTGAAGAGCCAGCGCTGTCCGAAGACGTCTCCGTGGTCATGTGGCCAGCATAACTCAACTCCCGAAGGGGCACAAAACGCTGTTCCCTTCCCACCAAAGGTGGTCCCTGTTTTTCGACTTGCATTTTTTAAGGGGCTTTCGAACTGTTAGGTTGGCAGAAGCTGGGACAAGTCACGGGAGCTCCCTCCGTTATGCGGCTCTGAGCTTGTCAATCAGAAAGGTCGGCAGTTCGAATCCCTAGTGCCGCAGGATTTGCAGGATTTATCTCTGGTCTCATCCCAAAGCTGGAATACGGTCTCCCCACCCACCCCGTTGCTAAATTAGGGCGAAGGCTCTATTGGCCTACCTTCAAGGGTTGTTCGGAGGATAAAAGGGAGGACCAGCTATTTTGAATCTTTGGGGAATAAAAACCTCTGAATTTAGCAGCAGAATTTTGACCCCCCCCCTTTTCACCCCCAAAAATCAAAGAGGAAGGGAGGAGTATAGGGTATAGGGACTCCTGTTTGAGCAGGGGGTTGGGCTAGAAGACCTCCAAGGTCCCTTCCAGCTCTGTTATTCTGTAATTCTGAGTCCTGGAGACAAATAAATATTTTATCCGCAGACTTAAAGCTCCAATGTCAGACCAAGTAACCTATCATCCAATATACAAATTTAAAAAGGCTGCTTCTGTTATGCAGAAGCCTTTATTAATAGCCTGTCTAGTTAAAAAAGATGAGGGGAGCTTAAGTTCAAAAATACATTAATACAAAAAATACTTACACCGCGGAAGCCGAGCGGCCGCGATAAATTTTTAAAATACGGCTCTTGTGCGACATTTTTTTTAAAGAAGAGAAGGGGGGGGGAAAGCAACCACGAAACACTTTATACAAGTAATGCATTTAAGCACTAATTATACAATTACTTCTTGCTAAGGAGTGGGAAAGAGAGAAGGGAAGGCTGGGAGGGAGGGGGACAGGGAAAGATTAATGGAGAATTTACAGTGGCTTTAATCGGCCATTTTTCCCCCCTTCGCGAAGCCGAAAATTCTCCCTCCTTCGTGCCACCCTAGGCCGCGTGCCCAGCCCTGCATTTGCCACTGGGGGGGGGGGGGACTGATGTATTTTCTGGGTGCCCATTTCAAGTCCTTATTAAAAGAGAAGGAGTTGGTGAAACCAGTACATAGATTCCAGAAAATAGAACTCAAAACTCAGAAGGCGTTCGTTAGCGTCTTTTCCAACTAATAAATTTTATGAACAGGAAGAAATTTTGGGGATGTGGTGGCCCGCCAGTGGAGCTGGCAGTAGATTCGGACAGTGAGGAAGCTGGGGAGGAACATGGGCCAGTCCTGGAGTCTGGGGAAGGCTCTGAGGAGGACTCTGTGTTGGAGGCAGAGAGGGGGCCAGGGCCATATGCCAGTTATCAGCTGCCTTCAGAGTCGGAGATCAGTGAGGCAGAAGAAGAGCTGGAGCCTGTTCCCAGTGTGCGCATGCGCAGAGTTGCCAGACGAAGGAAACAGCTAAGGAACAAGGGTCGACTTGGGAGTAAGGCCACAGGTGGACGATGAATGGCCCCTCCCAGGGGACATAAAAGAGGAGCCAAGGGAGACAATTAGTTCGGTCCTGAAAGGAACAGCTAAAGAACAGGGATTGACTTGGGAGTAAGGCCTCAGGTGGACAATGAATGTTCTGCTTAACTGCTGCAAATCTGTGTTTGTGTACCAGCATAACTCTGGTATGCCTGGAGCAATTTCAATCAAACTTGGTACACAGATGACTTACTCTCTGGAAACAAATATTGTGGGGGTAAGACACCCCTAACACCACCTCGAGGTGTGTGTTTGTTAAGATACAGACTGTTGTGCCTTAAAACGGTTTCTACCGTACTAATGTAAAATGGCTTCTACTGTGCAGCACAGTGGAGTTGCCATGGTAATGGCTTCACAGTACTTCACAAGGTGCCTTCCTCTGGTAAGGGGGAAAATCTAACGTTAGAAATTGCGTTTGGTCTGCACATTTCCCCCCTATAAATAAATACCCGGGCCATGCCGGGTTATCGGCTAGTAGTTCATAAAATTGGGTCCAGTCAAGTGATGACCTGCTTTACAACTGGGCTCAATTACAGTCGCAACTCAAGGACGACCTGAATTGGTTTTTCCTGCCGTTGACCTTTATGGTTTCCAGTATTTCAGCCTACCTGGGAGAACCGCTGTAGTTCGGGTAGCCACGTTGATGTCCTGCAGAAGCTCCAGCGTCTCCGTGTGGAAGAGACGTATGGAAGACCCCGAGGAGAAGGCCATCCACACCCCACTGCCTGCCTTGATCATATGGGTCACGTTGCTCTCCTCTTCCGGGTGGACCTCGAATATTTGCTGTGGACGAAGAAAAGGGAGAATCGGACATCGGCGGGCAACAAAGCGAACAGGTTGTGTAGCTTTTGTGTGTGAGTGATGCTTCCTCACATCCCACGAGGAAACGTGTTCCCTTTTAGATGGGACAGAAGGTGGGAGCAGCCCTCTTTTTAATGCCTCTGTTATAAACTCGGAATATTACCCGGAAAATGCTGACACAAGCCTTCCCGCGGTGGCATTTATGTACCTCAACATGTCTCTCTGTAAAAGCAGAGCTCCTATCAATCCCGCTGGGCGGCTGGGGAGACGTAAAACCTTGCATTAGTGTTGACAAGGCAGTGAATGCCACCTGACAACAAAGTGCCAAGCGGAAGGAGGAGACGGCCTCGCCTTGCCCAGGCAAGAGACAGAAGTGGCAACGGAGAAAGAAAGGAAACTGAGGCATGGCTTCAAAATGAAAAAGAAACCAGATTTCATCTTCCCTAAGGATAGCTGTGCCTTCACTCTGTTTACACACGCGTGTGTATCCGTGTATCCAGAGGTGGTATTCAGCCGGTTTTCTGGAGAACCGGTAGCGGAAAGTTTGAGTAGTTCGCAGAACCGGCAAATACCACCTCTGGCTGGCCCTGCCCCCATCTATTCTCTGCCTCCTGAGTCCCAGCTGATAGGGAGGGAATGGAGATGTTGCAATAACCTTCCCCTGGAGTGGGGAAGGAATGGGGATTTTGCAGTATCCTTCCCCCAAGAGTGGGGAAGGAATAGGGATTTTGAAGTATCCTTCCCCCAGGAGTGGGGGAGAATGGGGATTTTGAAGTATCCTTCCCCTGGAGTGGGGATTTTGAAGTATCCTTCCCCCAGGAGTGCGGGAGAATGGGGATTTTGAAGTATCCTTCCCCTGGAGTGGGGATTTTGAAGTATCCTTCCCCTGGAGTGGGGAGGGAATGGGGATTTTGCAGTATCCTTCCCCTGGAGTGGGGAGGGAATGGGGATTTTGCAGTATCCTTCCCCTGGAGTGG